CACACACACACACACACACACACACACACACACACACACACACACACACACACACACAAAGGACAGAAAGAAATGCAGGAGTGTAGTCTGAGGCAGCTTTATATACTGAGAGATAAAGTGAATGACTGGTGTTCACCTTATAATAGCTGAGCTACTGGAACAGAGGCCCCTTCTCTAATTTTTTTCTCTCTCAAGAGAAAAAAAAGAGCATACAGCTGCCCTGTTTTCTGCCTGTCCACAAAAGGCATGTTTCCCTCACAGAGTGTTACTGAAGTAAGGATTGTGACAGAATTCCATTGCCTCCTTTCCCATATACATAATTCACTTGACTCGTTTTCATCCAGCGGTGCATGGTTTAAACTGTGTTTAATGTTTTTTTCTGCACAATTTCACTGAACGCCAAGCGACACGGCTAAATGTTTCATCGCGGGGGGTTGTTATTTTGTGTGACCAGGCCAAAGCAAACTTAGGACTGGTAAAAAAAAAAATCATTTATCTAATGACCAGGGGTGACATGCTCAATTTAATCCAAAATAAGGCTCTGAGGTGCTCACAAGGAGATGAAGGGTGTGCATGAGTGCAAATGTATACAGTTAGAAGAACAAGCAAGGTCAAGCTACTGATTTACTACAACCAGAGGCCAAATCAAAATATTCAGTGGTTTTTTTCAATGTTCTCCTTTACTTAGTGCAGTGGTTCTCAAACTGGGGTTCCAGGATGTCCAGGGGGCCGCGAGTCATCTCTTGGGGGTCCTCAAAAWTTTTCTAGAATTTGTTAATTTGATTTTTATTTTTAAAAAATGCATATAGGGAATAATGCAATAGTAAAACAAACATACTAAACCAAACAAAAATACTATTACCATGGCTTTTAGGGGTTAAAATAATGGTAAACTATTTTGCATTAACAACATGGGGTTTACTAAGGGGGTGGGGGGTCCCCTGGAATATTTTCACCTTTGTAAGGGGTCCCCAGACCCAAAAGGTTTGAGAACCCCTGGTTTAGTGCATATAGGGCTGAGCATGTTAGAATGCAATGCTTGATGATTTGGAAGATGTRAGTTGCCAAAAGCARTTCAGATATTTTGAAGTGGGATTCTGTGGWAAGGTTTTGAACAAGTAYTGAACATGCTGTAGAGAGCTCTTTGAAGAACTTTAGTTCAGAGTAATATAATATAGCTTTGTTGGGGTTGATGATCTAGTGGCTAGTTTGAGCAGGGTCAAGACTAAAKTGCATTTTTCCTGTCAAAAATAAATAAATAATACAAAAATACAATAAGTGATTTTATAAAGGTTTCAGCAAGCAATACTTTATAAATCTTWACAATGTGATTTTTACTGCTAGAAGTACACCGAAGGCTGCACTTAAAGTACAATGGCTCTGCTGCAATTTGCATTTGCAAATAACTATTGAATATTTAGTGTATAAATAGTTTGCATGGACAGCTATGACATTTTTTAAACTGTGTGAGGATCTGCCTTCGTCTCCCCTTGTGATTTGTCAATTTTAGTGTTATTTTTGTGTTCTCCTCTATGTATGCCTGTCCCTGTGTTTTTCCCTATCTCCTCTCATGCACTAGATTGGCCCTTGCCTTCCTACACAGTTCCGCTCAATGGGGAAGTTCACTCAGGCTATTTTTAAAACACTAGTCACGTGACTATGGCCATTCAACACTGATGCACGTAAAACTATCGTACCAGCTCCATTGGTTTCAGTGCAATTGAAATTGGGTTAGCAATTGGGTTAACCAGATCCACTTGTTTTAAACTTCAACAGAGTCCACGCCTCCAGCAAGAAATCACTTCTCAATAGCTGAGGTTCCAGACCCTCATACAAAGCAAAWCATAGAAGGGGCTGGTTTTTACCAGGCTACTCATGCACGCCTGATCATCTTGTCTCTTCTCAGGTATTCTCAATCATCCCTTCATATACTCACCTATATTTTCTGTGTCTTGTCTTCACTTCCCTGTCAGTTCATGTATGTTCTGYCACCAGTCTGGTTGGTCTTCTGTACTCCTCAATAGCTATGTTCACATGGACATAAGTAACAAATGGCCAGTCRCAGTCAGGAWAAAAATGTGTCATGTAAATGCCCCAAATCAGAATATTCTGATCTGATTCAGCTAGATCAGAATGAATTTGTAATCCAAATRAAAGAAGTGGTTTATGCCGATTGATAATCCAAKAACACTTATTCTGATCGTCTTATTYTGGTTATGGAAAACTGGCCTGACTGCACATGTGCACCCTATTTCCACTTCGCTAGTTGCTAATAYGTCAGGGAAGCAAAACTGGTCAGTTAGCGATTCRTTTCTATTAAAATTTTTAAAAGAGCTCAAAAGTATCAAACTTTTTAATGCTTGAAATTATAGGAACACAAAGACAAGAATAGACAAGAGACAAAAACACAGTAGAACTTTTTTATGTTCATCATGAAAGCAGAACTTCTTTGTATTTTTAGGGAAAGTTTRCAACTCTGCACATYCTGGATCAAACCTATACACAACCTGGCAGACTGAAGTTTTTAAGATGGTAGAGATCTACTTTGATTTTGGCCCTGCTCTGAGTAGCTGTCWGCTCATCAGTCTGGTCAGACTTTGATTCTGCTTCTCTAAACTAAGGCCATTCAAAGAGCTTTAGCCAAAKTCAGTCTGTTTTACTCAGGTGTGTTTATTGAAGTCAAGAATATACACATATGCGTACAAATCTAAGGTAGGGTGCATTTCTTTCAAAAGAGAGAGACATGAAAGAATTGTGAAAAAAGAAAAAAAGAAATAAAAACAGAAAACATCTAAATTTCCCATCTCTGAGCCCCTTTTTATCACAATGTTCACTATAGAGTTGACACACCCATGGCAATGAGAAGTTACTGTGAATTTTATCAGACTGTGATAGTGTGAAGCTTTCCCATCATTCCCTAAAGGCTTTTATTCCCTATCGGTTGTTCACTAACCTACCAGAGCCTTTAGCTTGGTTCTGTAATGACTGTCATTAACATATCAAGATCTGCCGAAGGGTCCTGGCTGCTTTTCCCACCCAACCATCCTCCTACCACTTTCTTTCTTTCTTTCTTTTGCCAAAACCAAGATGGCTTGCTTCAGAACTTCACWTGTGCCCTTCAGGGATCAGAAAACACAAAAGTCTCCAGTCTAATTGGATTCATTTGGAAAATAGYTGTGGAAGATTGAACATTTATCTCTCTATGTACCCATGACTAGATTACAATGTTCTTTTTTTGCCCCTTTGGTAATTTTTGTCATTAATACATCAAAACTGTGCTCTCTTTATAGCCAGAAATTTGTTGTTTCCTTTATTATGTATGCAATTATCAGAATGAATGTTCCATTATTGAATAAGGGTATCAATATCAATTCTCTTTTTTTGAAATAATGCAAACATTTTTATGGTTTACGCTCTGATCTGAAAGCGGACGACTTGGGTAAAACATTGTACTGAGAGCTGAAAGCAGAGAGTGAATGCAACTTTATCTGTAGAAACCCTGCTGAAGTGAAGACAGCAACAATGGTTTGTGCTTGTGTCTGAMTCTCAGAATGTGTGTTTGTCAAGGTTCTGATGAGCAACAAACAAATCACCATATCACCGTGTCCTATCACCAGATGTGCTTTGCCTTTGAAACTAATTTGTAGACCTCTGTCTCTTTGCACGTCAGTGTGTCCTGCCTCAGCTGCATCTGTTAGTGTTTTGTTTGGTATAGCTCTGAGCGTTCTCTCTGCTCCTGTGAGTGTTTGTGTCTGTGTGTGTTTGCATTTCGTTTTCCAGATGTCCATCAGATAAAAGTTGTTGAACACCACAACTGACTATTACACCACCACTTTAGACACATGGGGTTAGTTGCACAGAASATGATGTAGCGACGAAGGCCTGTGAAGTTGAATGAACTCCTTCTAAAAGTTCAGTAAATTGATAGTAARCGTGATGTGGGCAACTTCTGTTTGATTGGATTGATCAATGGTTTTAGACCCATAATGTGTGTATGACATAAGACATAGACACAGACTATAATGTTTATGTCTTATGCCATTGTGCTATTGSGTAAAACATTGTATTGAGAGCTGACAGTACAATGTCAGCTCCCAGTGACAGAACTGTGTATATTGWATGTATGTGAATTGGAGAAACATCATCTGTCGGAAACAAATTCCTTGTGTGTGTCAACATACTTGGCCAATAAAGCTGATTCTGATTCTGATAACAAAAGCTGATGTAATGAAACTACATTGGCAAATATTAGAGCATTATTTGTTCCTCATATTGCATGTTTAAAATGTCATTCATAAAGGAAAACAACATTTTGAACTCTTGAGTTGTTAACTCTGAAGTGACGGATTGTTGTTCAAATAGTTCTAAACCTGAATGAGAAAATTACTGCATGACACAGCAAAAATAACAATAAACAAAATTAATCAAATWTTTTAAACCTGTCAAAGAACACGAGAAGCAAGAAGTTATGTGTTTTTTTTTTAGTTTCTGGGAGGCTAAAACCAGATGCCCGCAAGCCAAGTTCCCTCCTCCTGTGCATTTTTTGTTGCTTTCTGTTTGTTCTTAGTCATATACTTAATTTTCAGTTTTGTGATCAGTTATTTCTCTTCTACTTTTAGAGCACATTTTGTTCATGTTTTTACAGTGTATAGTAGAAAATCATCTTTCCAGTAAAACAGTCTTTTTTTCTTTTTGTGGTGCTGTGCTCCACATGTTTCAAAGCATGGTTATCGAGCTCAGCACATCCTGCAATTGTTGCCTAATGGTTGATCTAATCTTGAGCATTGTTATAAATCTCTTTTATAACTTTTATCTCTGCCTCTTTTTTCCTCCAGATTGAGAACCTGTTGGAACAGTTAAAGGATAAGGACAAACAGCTTGCTGGATTGAGAGAAAGGGTGCAGGGCCTTCAGACGGACTCCAGTAACACCGACACAGCTCTGGCCACTTTGGAAGAGGCTTTATCAGAAAAGGTACACATTTTGAAACTTWTGTTTTGTTATGTTAAGTTATACACAGGAATAAAGACAAACACACATTTAAAAATAAAAGCAAAAACCTTCTTACAAAAACACTCCAAGGGAAATCAAAAGGATGAGTACAAGAAACACAAGAAGGACCAGTTGGGTTTGAATACTAATAATACTCAACTGAGGATGGAGTGAAGACAAACAAACTGATAAGGCTGATGAGGAGAAATGACTGCAGATGACAGGTGAACGGTACAGGTGGAGGTGGGCGTGGCAGGACTGTATGATAAAGCGCAGAACTGAGAAGTGAGTGATGCCACAAAGTAATATAAAACATCCTGGTGTAAAGTATAGTAGACTTTACACATTTCAGATCATAACAATGTCTCTTTTACTGTCTGTTTATAAATCTAAAAGTGAAATGATATATTGAGGATAAGGGAAGAAAGAGAGAAGAAAAAACATGCTTGTGGGATTAAAACATATGAGCTCATAGARTGAAACCACAAGACTGGTATGGTTTTAGAGTTTGACAATCTGGAAATTTTTGTTTTCGTCGTTCAGACTTATCTTTCAAGASGCTATGGCTTACTTATGTTGAATGCTTTGCTATATCTCATAGGCTTAATTTATTGATACAAGCTCCTGATTTATAGAACTTGAGCCACACTAGATGTAACAGATGTGGTTCTGAAGACGCAGTGGCAGAAAGAAGATCTAAGGTGACCACTGATGGAGGATTAGGACTGTCCAGAATGTAGGGAGGGAATGATCTATAAGAAAACAGGAGGGTATGGAAGGTAAGACAAATGGAAGGTGAAAAGTGGAACAACATAAGAGCCATGGGGTTGATGTAGGGATTTAATTAATGGAGGGAAAAGTTGAGGTATGTAGAAGGTGGAGGCAGAGTAAAAAATGAGGAGTTTCTAAAAAAAAAAAAAAAAAAACAGAGCTAGCAGGAAAAACAGAACTGCAATGACCAAAACTAAGAAAGCAGACACCAAAAATCACAAATGTTTTTGAAAAATTGTCTCTGCAGAATTAATATATGTTAAGTTCAATTTAGTTTTATTGTGTATTTYTATGCTGTGGTTAAGAACAGCGAGGAACCTGGGATATCTAACTTTCAAGTTAGGGAAAATATGACACCGGAAGTTGGATTTCAAAGTCAGATGCATGAATGACAGCAAGGCAAATGAATGCAACCTTTCACATTTTTTTCTTTCATTTCTAGAAAAGGGATTTTATTTTTTGCATATTTAATTACTTTTATCCCTTCTTAAATAAAATAATATAATTTATTCAAGGGGACATATCATTCAAAATCTACTTCTTTTTAGCCGTTAAATGCATTTTGTTGTGTAGTCTGCAGTGCAGAAAAATTTAATCTTTCCCGCTACAAAAACATTGTTATATTCTTTTTAGGTAATAGTTGTTTGGGTTTAAAGAGACAGCTTCAAAACGAGTTRATCTGAGACACACTTCAGAAAAGAGGTGAAAGAGGGGATTGTGGAGTTACAATAAGGAAGAATTCAGACCAAAGCATTGAAGTTCCACTTAAWATAGACCCCAACTGAATGATTTAAATGTGAAAAAGTAGGGTTTAAAAGTATGATATGTCTCCTTTGAGTGAAATTGCTTTCAAACCAATCGAAACCACCCAGTGTAAAAAAACAAACAACAAATGAATTAATAAACAAACTAATGTTGACTAGGATTTGATTTGATGTTTTCAAAGGYTTTTTTCTTTTTTTTCCACAGTAAAAATGATCACAAGTACATCATAACAACATCCTACAAATACTGTCTTCATACTCRTTTGTTTTAAATCAACAAAAAGAAAACAGTCTCTTAGAAACCCATTCARACTTACACAAACACCTCAGCTGCCTTCCATAATCACACTTTAGATAAAGTGTGGTTAACAGTGTCTGCTTAGCTTTAGTTAAAACGCTTGACCACCTGCTCATTTATGATAATTGTATGATGTAAAGTCTTTCATTTGTATTTCCTTGAGCTAAGACAAGGTTTTTTGGTGCAGCTCAAGGTTTTGTGAACATGTGGGCTTTTTGTGTCAAAAACACATGTGCAATGACAAAACTCCTATTTACCACTTACCAAAGATACAACAATCAAAGAAGATTATACATTACAATAAATGGAAGAACAAGACCAAGAAGAATGCATTTCTCATACAAATAAGTTGAGAAACCAGCACATAATCACCACCATTTGAACTTAGGCGTAACTGTAGACATTAGTTGTGCACCATGTTACAGTGGACCCAAAAAGAGTTGGAATGCAAGCTTGTGCCTGTCAACAGCTTTTCACACATGCCTTTATAGAGCGTTCTAAGTTGCAGAAAGCAGATGGTTATGAGCTGTTTCACTGCCARAACGGTCCAGGTATAACAATCTTTTCTTTAAACCCCTAGAACAGATTTTTTTGAAATCCGCAGACTATGCTGGCAGCAAATGTTCTGAGGAGAGGGTGTACAGCACTGAAGTCCCGTTGTGGTCAATCACTCTTACAGTTGCTTTTAAAACAAGTWCAACAAGCAGTGTTTCAGTTTGCATAATTGAACACACTGAAAATGTTTGTGCTGAATAGCTGCCAGGGGATTTGAGGTGATCCGCGTCGACCTACACCACTTGGATGGCTGAATGGACGCTGGGATGGGAAGGGTGTTGTCTAGGATAAACGTTGGGCTATTTGTTTTCTGGCAACATGAAAGAGTAACTGGTCTTAATTAAACTTTGCCTAAACATTGCAGAGCCAGGTTTTACTGCATGAAACTCGACTAATTTGACTTTGGTCAAGAATGTGGACTACTTATGCAAATATTTTACACTTTTTTTTCCAACAACACATTTTAAAGTGGGGGTATTGTGTATTTTTCAAGCACATGGTTAAATTCTATACCAAAAAAAGTTACTATGTTACCTTTACGTTGATATAAAAATGCTGTATATATCAAAAATAAATGTGCATTTTGCATCAAAACTTATCTAAACATGTTGAAATTGGCCTCTGTTTCTTTAAGAACTTCCTACCGTTTCCAGCTCTCCCACTTCAGCACATTTTCACAACAATACTTTGGGGGAGGGGTGCTCTGTGGGGCAGGAGGTTGGCTTCAGACTGAACTCCAGGGTGGAGCTTTGTGGAAATAGGCGGTGCTTTGTACTAGCAAACATTTAGGCAGCACCACATGTCCACTAGCCTGGCCCTTCCTACGCAGCTCTGCTCAATTCTAGTTTCGCTTCTCTGCTCTGTCTGGTATTTTTCCCATAGACAAGGATTTTGCTGGCAGATTTTTAGCCGAACCAAGCAGAGAACARAACGTTGATTTTCTGCAGWGTGTCTGTTTGTAGTTTATTTTCCCTRGGYCAATCAACAAACAGAAGGCGGGGTTTTGAATGACATMGATTTTGTGCGCAGTGTCTGCTAATTAGTTAGCAATGGCAGTGGAGGAAGTGAATGAAACCAATCTGTGTTAATAAGGYTTCCATWTTAAATTAAATTTGTCTGACAAAGCAGCAGCTCTCATTTACAGTCGTCTCGTTCGGCTCGGTACTTTTCTCCTCTCAGTAGTGTTGTTTACAGCGCTCGCGATTTCCGGTAAGCTTCTTAGCTTAGCCTCCTTCACAGTGACATACACACTTCAGCAGAGGCCACGCCTCCTGCAAGAATCGCTTCTCTATAGCAGCGAGTCCAGACCCTCATTCGAAGCAAAGTGAAGAACAAGGGTCTGGTTTTTACCAGGCTAGTCTACCACAGGAGATTCAAGGATTTATCTAACTAGCATTAATGAGTCAAAGCAACACTTTGGGTATGTTTTTGATGAGTGAATGGAATTATAACATGAYATTAAGCTCAAAAAGTCTACATTGCATAATACTAGATTTGCACTCAAGATTAAATGGTAAATTTGCTGTACATAAATAATCAACCAAGCTTCTCAAAACACTCTACTAAGGCTCCACAAAGCTAATGTGACTAAACCATTCTAGTGAGTCTAATTAATGCTTTAGATCATATTCTGATGGGACACATATTCATACACTGATGGGACACATTTGAAGCAAAAGGGGTTCAGTGTCTTGCCCAAAGACACTTAGACATGTGACTGTAAACTGCTAGCAATTGAATCTCCAACCCTTTCATTGGAGAATGACTCCTTCTAACCACTGACCCACAGCAGCTCAATTACTTTTGTTCTTTTTAACCGAGACTTAATTGGATTTTGGGATGTGATGATGCTGTACGGTTCTAACTTTGATTTTGCAGATGTCACATCCTTGTCTTGAAACAATTAAACTTTGCTTTGATCTGACTGGCATGATGTCAGCTAGACATATTTTCTAATTTTACTGAATTTTTTTCACACTGCAATCTACAAAGAAACAGTTTGTATACTGTAGGCTCAAATGTTTTCTCTTTACATTTGCATATTCATAATGCAAAAGAACATAGATTCTGGTTTAAATTTTATTGAAAAAATGATGCTGGTGACAAAATCCCAGTTAAGACAGATGTGAATGTCCAGCTTCAGAGTGTGCTTACTAGTAAATGTCCCTTTTTATATGCTTCCMAAACATGCACACACAGTAAAAACTTGCTGTGAAACTTACATATTTATTAATTTGGGTGTGGATGTCATGATTCACATACTATAATTTGTTCATTCAAAACGGATGAAAAATGTGAAAAATTCAATCTATGTTTTTATTTATTTATTTATTTATTTATTTATTTATTTGGAAGAGATTACTCATCCTCAAAACAATTAGATATCAAGTCCAATTTAAATCTCAGATCAAGTATAAATTTGGTCTCCAAATACTAAATAAAGTGACCTCTGYTGGGCTAAGTTGCTAGATTTTTATCATATGATAACGAGTTAAGTGGGAGTGGCACAGCGTCTGGGTTGGTAGAGCTGTTGCCTCCCAGTAAGAAGGTTGCTGAATCAAATCCCAGCAGGAGGATCATTCTGGGTAGAGTTTGCATGTTTTATCCATGCATGTGTGGGTTTTCTCTGRRTACTCCRGTTTCCTCCCACATACCAAAAACATGACTGTTAGGCTAATTGGTAATTATAATTTATTTTTAGGTGTGAGTGGTGTGGCTGTCTCATTTGTCTCTATGTGTCCTTGTGATGGACTTGCAACCTGTCCAGGGTGTACCCCGCCCCTCACACAATGATTGCTGGATATGGGCACCAGTGACCCTGATAGGAAGAAGTGGGTAAAAGAAAAAAAAGATGGATGAAAATGATTTAAGAAAAGGCATAGACTACACATAAATGACCTTCCAAAAATATTAAAGTATTCAAATATTTTAATGCATGCTGATGATACTGTTC